AGATTTTTTAAAATTTAAAGTCGTTTTTTATTTTTAGTCGAATATTTATATTTTTAATTTAGAATAAACACGAATAGAGAACAAACGCGACATTTATTCGTATATATTAATGGAATTATTATTATTATTATTATTATTATTATTAATTATTCATATTACAATTATTTATATTACAATTTAGTCAATTTCTTTTGATGGCCCCTTCGCGACGCGTTCGTGTTTCGCGCATCAAAAGCGTAAAATGTTACGCTTATTGCTAGCGATGTTAGTCGGCAGTAGTCGGCAACAAAAAGGAGTATTTCTCCTTGTTGTCGATTTCTGGCAAATGAAGCCAGAATATTGGCCAGGAGCAACGAAAGGTGAGTTCAATCTGGTCAGAAGAAAGAAGAGTATCTAAACAAAGTAGGTTGGAGTGTGTAACACCAATTTAAGTTTTTAAAAGGAACATGTATACTGAGGAAAAAAATGTGTTCAACTAAACACACTTAGTTGTTTGCAGATTTTTTATTTTATTAAATTTTATTTATCTTATCGAATTTAACGAATTGTTCAATGTTAAGCAGTTGAATTCGATTGAATAAAATTTGTTGAATTAAGCAAATCTGCAAACAACTAAATGTGTATAGTTGAATAAATTTTTTTTCTCAGTGTATAAAGATAAATTGAATATTCGGGAGGGTAACTTGCTCGCAAATTGCGAGTTCTTATATTTTCTGAATTATTGTTTATTTAAAATACAAAAATATCCAACAAACAACAGGACTAATGAGAGTCAGCGCGGATAATCAAGCGCAAATTTTGTAGATTAAAAAATCTACAAAACTTGCACTTGATTATCGGCGCTGATTCTCATTAACTTTGTTATTTATTCATTTTTTTGTATTTTAAAGATTGAAAGTTTGTTTTAATTATTATTATTTATTGCTCATTTATTTAATATGATTGCAATTAGATTATTCCGCTGAATTTATCAGTACATGATAGGATCAGAATGGTTAAGCATTAGCTGCTACGTTCAGCAGAGAAAGCAACTTTGCAATTGTTGTAAAATTCTTCAATATGATTGATTTATACATTTAAATCCATATGGAACCAAAAGTAAAATCCAATCGTATTGATGAATTTTACAACATTTGCAAAGCTGTTTTTTCTGTTAAACATAGCCATATTAATGTATTATATTCGCGGTGTTATGACACATTAATAAAGTAATGTAGATAGGAATACAAAGGTAGATGGAAAAAGGTGTGAATATGACACGAATAAATGAAAATACGGGTAGGACAAATATGGATAGATAGAGACTGTATAAGTAGGGACAATAAGTATGAGTAGGTAGGGATAAACACAACAATTTTTAATTAAAAAATTAAATTATTACAAATTAAATGACACTTAAATAAATTTCGCGATCGGGTAATTAAATTTTATTTTAAAAATAAAAAATAAATATAATTAAACTAAAAAGTATCACATAATAAATCTAACCAGTAAACTATATAATATTATTTATTGCTCAATTATTTAATATGACCGCGATTAGATTATTCCGCTTAATTTATCAATACATGATAGGACCAGAATGGTTAGGCATTAGCTACGTTCAGCAGAGAAAGCAACTTTGCAACTGTTGTAAAATTCTTTAATATAATATGTAGGTAGGGATACACATAGACATCATCTGTACATAGTTGATAATTAGGAAGGGATCAATAATTAAATAATATTTTAAATTAATTTTAAATGTTATTTAATTATCAGCATCCCGTTCCAATTATCAAATATGAAAATAAACCAAATTAATTTTAAATTTCATTGCCTTTTCAGCTCCCGAAATTAAACTTTTTTGTGAAATTCTATACATGTACAAATTATGTAACGCGTTATATCATAATTAATTTTATTGTAAATAAATGTATGTATGATAATATTAGGTACGTGATATAGAATTTATGTAAACTATGTCCAGATAAATGTCATCATATTTACTTTTGTAATTTGCAATAATTATTAATAAATTATATATTTATTAGAATGTATATTAATGTTGAATGTCGATTCAGATCTCACAATAGCATTTATCTTGTCGTAGTAAATCAAATTTTTTGTTACTTTATTGACGTAAATTATACGAAATCGGCAATACATATGATAACAAAAATTATTTAACAAGTTTGACAAATATTTAATCTTGAAACTTTTTTTTAATTTGGATTTTATTTTGAATATTGAACAGTATTAATAATTTTGAATGATTTCTAATTAAAAATTTGATGTTTAGAATAATCGACAATTTTTCTTCGTATTTATAATAGTATATATTTATTAAAAAGTATAGTACATATTTATTAAAAAAGTCATAAAGATTGGAGCTTTGACTAAATATAGTTAAATATTAACTTCTTGCTTGCTTTTTGATATTTATATTTTTAATATTACAGAATTATAAGTATATCTTAGTGATTAATTTATTATATACAAAGACCTCATTGCTCGATTTAGATGGATACTATATGAATGCATGGTTTGTACCGATAGAAAGTCGTAATTATTTTCATCATGGAAAGTTATTCCTCGTTGCTTTTCGTAAAGTCCATTTGCAAAGTCTAGTTTAGGTGTTCCGTTGGAGATTCTTGTACAAGATTGGAATTAATCCCTAATAATTTTATCAATGATTCAATAACAATTGCTACATATTTTAAAGTTCAATTGCGAAATTAATTCAGTGATATATTTTAGGGTATAATTTTCATCGCTTTCTTAATTTTACTAAATGTTCTCCCACTAGTAATAATGTTAGTAATAGACTGTCTCAATGACAATAGAAATTTAGTATGATTAACATGAATAGCATGATTATTTGTAATGAACAGCATGTTATTTTAAATCTCCAAATTATTAAGTAAAAATAAATTTAAGTTTTATACAAATAATTTGCTTATTTTTTGATAATTGCTTTAACAAAAATATGGTTACGAATGTATATATTTAATTTTCTAATTGTTATTTAAAAAATCGTTTTTAGATATTGGACATCCCGCCACTCGGAATATTATTAATTGTTAATTTATATGTGTATATGTATATATACTTTTCTATGATAAAATATATGCAGATATTATAAGATTATATTTAACAAATTTTGATTTTTAATTTAGATAATTTTCACCAAAATGCTTAATATTTTTTTAATAATATTGTCGTAAATACACGAATTTAGTTAAAATTATGTGGGTACAAAAAAATTCGAGATAAGTCGAATGGGTATCCTCATATTAATGGGATGTTAATAATTAAATTTTTGGAAAATATAAGGAGAATATAAGGAATTGTTAAATTTTATATAATAAATTTTTTAGTATAAAAGTATAGTTCTTTAAAATCCCATTATTATCAGGTTCGCTTTATCTCGAACAGTTGGTACCCGAGACATTTTTTGTACCTATACATATAAAAAATTACAATAACGCATGTATTTTATTATTATTAAATATATTCCTTCGTAACCACTATTGCACAAGGAAACCATTCTATCTGTTTATTTTTAATAAGAGATTTTTAATAAGAGATTTTAGATTAGTGATGTGGCAGAACATATTTTCTCGCGAATTTTAATATTATATTAAAGATGTGATAAAAATGATAATTGACATGCTACCCAAATTATTATTGTAAGTAATCTGAAAGATGACATGCATATCCTTTAGTAACAAGATTATTGATATTTGACGGATGCTTAACTTTTCTTTGCAAATGGATTTTATGAATTTAACGTAGAATTAGAATACATTAAATTCGCTCTCCACTGAAGATTATTCTTCTTTATATCGGACACTAACCAGCGTAGTACAAAGCGGAGAGACTTTGATATGATGAAATTATTATTAAGATAGTAATCTTGAACGCGATGAAATAGTGCTGTTATAAATATATTAATGATTTTTTTATTGCGATATTATTAAGTTTTATATTCGCAAATTAATAATCAATAGTAAATACGATCTAATTGTTGTTAGTATTTTTTCTGCGTTTATCAATATCTCATTAGTTTAGAGAACTTTGTGTTATCGTATTTTCGACGTTTTCGTATAATCTCGCATTTCTAAAATTTGTTAATTATGCTCCTATATTATTGCTTTTATTATATTTTGAACAGCATTAATAATTGTATATTATATTGTAAATAATTATTATAATTGTAATATATCGAATTATATAAAGGATGATACAATAAAGAATAATATTTAAAAAATTATTGTAAATTTTATTAGCGAAATAGAATAAAATAATTATATACATAAAAATAAAAAATAAATTACAAATATACTTATCTGCAAAAATGCTGTTAAATTTATTAGTTTATTTTATGGATAAGTATATTTACAAAAAAAAAAGAGGACCGCCGATAAAATTGGCGGGGGTGGTGGAGGGCCTCTATAGATCGTTTTTGCTAAATTATAACAATATATGTTTAAAAGAGATTGAATTTATCAAAAGTCTTTATAATTGCTAGTAATTGTAGAAACTTTGATATATATTAGTAATTATGTTTGGTAAAAACGGGCTAAAAATTTGCATAAAGAAACATAACTTCGTAATTGTATAATTATATATATATTATAAGACAAAATTCACACATTAATTTGTTTGAATTTTCAATTTCGTTTATTAAAATTCAACTTTTATTTACATGCAAAATTAAAATTTTTTCGTTCAAAGATTAAACTATCTCTCCTATGATCTCCTATCGGCACGCTTCTGTCCTGAGGATTTAGTACAGAGACGAATCACATCTACTTTCGACTATACGATTTTATCGATAGTGTTAGAAAATGTATGTAGTCACGTAGTTCTCAAACTGGATATACTGGCGATAGTGTATGTATGGGCGATTTCGACCCGATATATACAAATAAATACTGGATACAGTCACGCGATGCTGCAAACTCTTTGAAACGTTTTTTAATTGGTCAGTTTGTAAAATTCTTTCTTCTAATTGGTCCATCAAATGCTTCAAAGCATTTGTAGCGAGACTTTGACTACAGCCACTGTCACGTTTGTTACAAGTGTGATGTTACTTTATCACGAATGATTTAGTATTCATACAGATATATAATTTTTTGAAAATCATCTTTGAAGCTGCGAATAATATATTATAATGGCGCAAATAGGGAACGTAGTAAGTAAATTATTGTCTACAGAAATGTAACCTAGATTATAATTTTATAACCTAAATGATTGTGTCTTATTTATGATATAATGCAAGTAATTTTAAAAATTATTGAATAACTGAATAATTATTTAAATTGTCCGCCTTGATTAAGATTTATTTTTTCATCTAATAAATAATTATTAATAATATCTGTATATTAGATGACTCCTCTTGTTTCATTTTTATTTTACTGTGTATGTGATACTTCCAAATTAATTCATGAAAAGCACTTATTTATGCAATAATATATTTAAGACGGCAGATCAATTAATGGCTGGTACCAGTGTATTGTCAAGACCTGCTGAAGAATTCGAAAATGACGTGAGTAAAATCGCATGTAAATTAATGAGCGAGTAATATTTATTATTGTATACTGTAAGAAAATTTTAAATCAATTTTACTTAAAGGAATGTTTTCCTTTTTTTCTACTTCTTAGCCATCTCTGGAAGCAATGTGGGCAATCAAAGCCATGGAACATGCAGAGGTTTATTTTAATGTAAGTTATACAATATTATACAATATATATGTAAGAATTATGAAATAAATAGAGATATTATGCTCCAGATTTTATGCTCGGTTGACCCGAAGCTTTTGAAACTCACACCTCATGATGAACAAATCTATAAAACTTTTAAAGATACGTTTCCTAATATGAAAGTGAATAAAGTGGATGAAGACGAGTTGAAATCTCCAGAGGGGAAGATAAAATGGAGGTTCTTTTGTGAACAATTTAAGGACGTTGTGGAGGACTATAGTTTTGGTACACTATTGAGAGCAGATTGCACTGGAGATTATTCGGAGCAGAATAGCATACTAACAACCAGGATACAATTTTATGCTATAGAACTCGCAAGGAATAGAGAAGGTTTTAATGATAGTGTACGAGAAAAGTACAAATCGAATAGAACTATAAAAAAATAGATTTGATATTATAATTAGTTACATTAACATTACTGAAAATAAATTCAGATTATTTTTCTATTATTTTTTTAAATATAAGAGAATTGAGTAATGTAAGAGACAATTTTATAAGATATATACATATATATTATAATAAAAATTATATATAATAACGGATATTAAATTGATATTTAAATATATTTACCATCCTGAGAAATTTTTCTTTTTTAATTTTATGCAACATTGAAATAAAAAAAGCTATAATTTATTAAATGAATGAATATTATACTTAAGATTATAAAAGAAAAAGGGTAATAAAATTGGTAAGAAAGGAGAATGTAGGTAAGAAGAATGAATACACAAAATAAAGATACATAAGAATTATCAGACCACAAAGAATTTGATTATCAATGAAGCTCGTAGTATCTCTGTGAAGACTTCAATAAAAAATTAAAGGAAATATATAAAATTGCAAGATGTCTGTTAATTTAAAGGGTTGAGTAAAAGAATGTACGAGAGCAACCATTTCTAGAATATATTGCTATATACACACTTTAATAACCAAAAACAAACATTACAGCAATAATATTGTTATTAATGTAATATTATATGCAATAATAGAATCGTTTATCAATCGTAGTGAAAACACCGAAAACCTTGCTTCTTCTTTTACTGGAAAGAACAATGCGTACGGTTTGTCTTCTTTTTATTATTAATAATATTAATTCGCATAATGGCGCCCGATCGACCGCACCCGCATGTTGTCGTGGATGTTATAAAAAAATTAATAAACGTTACCTTGTTTGCCATACAGTAATCTAGGCGCAAATACGCTATTTTTCGAGAGCGCGGTCGACCCGCGAGCCGATCGTTCGTTATCGTAGAATAATAAATATGACAGTGTGATATCTAAAAAATCTGTCTTTTTATGCAACTTGCACATTCAAATACAAGTGTACTCGAAAAATTTACATTGTTTTATTGCCCTTACGAACGTTAAGGAGAATAGCAAGTAGCTGCCAAATTGTCATATGGAGAATATATTTTAGAAATAGGATAATACACTCTTTTCGAGCTTTGCATTTTAGTGACAAAGGTACAAAGGAAGAAATAACTTTCAAAACCCATTCGTCTGATATGTGATAATCATCGACTGGAAATTGTTCATTTCAAATTATGGATCATTTAACGATTTGACAATTACGGATTCTCCTCGAATCGAGCGGCTTTTTTTCCAATTTCGCTTTTGCTCATTCTCTCTCTCTCTCTCTCTCTCTCTCTTTCAAATTCTTGCTTTTTTCTCACGTTCACTCTGTATTTCCGACCGCTAAAAAATATTTGATATAAGATCGTACAAGAATCACAAAATAGAGCTTTGAATAAAATCTGCTTTAGATGAGCGTCTTTCGTCTGAGTGTAATAATAAATAAATTAATTAAACAAGTAATCTAGTATTTATATATGTCGAAGATGTGGAATATTTTTACATACCGTAAGAGAGATTTATTATCTCTCTTTTCTTCCCCCCCTCCCAGAAAAGTTAATTCAAAAGTATTTAAAAGATATCACATTTATATATTTCTCTCTCTCTCTCTCTCTCTCTCTCTCTCTCTCTCTCTTTCTGTGCATTTTGGTTTATTGTATCTCTATTGAATGGCGCGACCAGAAAATAGAGCTTGCCGAATCTCACGTTTATTTTTTAGCAATTTGCATCGCCCATGCATAATGCATAAATTACAAGATTCGTATATAGACATCGACCCTCAAATAATGCGGCAGAATCTTAATGATCATTTTCCACTTGACTCTGCTTATTAATTTCTCTCGTATTGTTCGAGGGCGACTGATTCCAGGGTGCTTGAAAAAGAAGCGTAAAATAAGACTAAAATATACAATAACAGTGAGTTTAAATTCATGAACTCTATTAAAGTTTAAAAATCTTGTATATATAATATTGTTATTAATTAAACACTAATTGTTTAATTGATTTAAACACTAATTGTTGCCGAACTTTATCCTAACATTTTGCACAGATTTTTGATTGCCACATACAATAAATAAAATTCATAATTGGACAATCGTATTTAATGTCAGTTGTGATATGCAAATATGGATATAATCAACATTTTTTGATAGTTACAGGAAGATTAAAAAATTATAGATTTTTTTTTACTTTTTTTTACGTGCATGTGCTACTTTTATGTATAAATAAATTCAATTTTTGATGGTCCCTCAAAGTCTTATCAGTTTTATTTAAAGTGCTATTTTTACAAAATTCTGATTATGTTTTGTGCATCTTTACGCTCTTTTTTCAAACACCTTAGAGTAGATGTGAATTACAATATGTCTCTCGTTCTCAGCAAATAATTCATACATAATAAAAAATGACATAAGAGGACAATGTCATCGTTCACTGAAATAATAAGTGGAGAATGGCAAAATTATTTGATCCTGTACAGAAGTCACGATCATGTATAAGAAATTTGTTTGAATATTGATGAAAAATACGTTTGAATACCTAGAACACGTATCATGATGACGGAGAACGATCGTCGAATGAAAACAAAGGAAATTGATTATTGTAACTATATAATCCTTAACAATGACGATGATAGCGTACTCTTCCTGACGTCTTTCTCCAATCGCGTATTATACATTTCATGAAATTTCAGGCGCGCGCGCTACATTCTTTAAATCTACGCTCCTCTACGAAGAGTCTCACTGAGAGAAAATCGATTACACTATCGATTGCACTTTCGATTGCGCATATAGATCAAACTGCGATATTAAAAAAGAAAGGTGCATGCATATTGCATTAAGGCAAATTGCTATTTCCTACGAATTAATCGGTTATTGATCCGCGTCTACATTTTTGCATTGACGACATATTTCTGACAGGTGAATTTATTAAAATGGATTATACTTTCATTTTGCAGCAATAATCTTTATTTCTTTTTTTTTTTTTTACAAAAACACTACTTGGCACAGCTAATAGTTTATATATTAAATATTTTGCATATACGAGAACAATCGACATTAATAACGAGCACGATTGTCACTCTTCTACAGCAGAATGCTCTCACATCCGAACTAATTGCAGGAAATTATCGTTATCTTAATTAATTAAGGCAACTTCAGCGTAATTAAAACTTCTTTTCTCTCAGTGCGTGTAACCGAGCGCCGAAAGTGACAACGATGCAACAGTGTGTGGAAGTAATAATAAGCCGTCAAGTGTAGGTAAGCTCTACTTTACAACAATTGTGTGTGATCGTAAGAAACTGAGAAACCTAGAAACACAAAGCGAAACACTCACGCAGTCAACGATCTCTTTTTTTCGAAAGAACTCGTCTCTCTCTCTCTCTTTTTCTTTTTTTATTCGCCTTTACTTCTCGTTCCGCGCGCGTGATCGATAATCAATCCAACAACAACAACAGGGCATGTCGTATTTATGCGACCTATGGAGAGGTGTGATACAATAGCAGTATTAATAATAATAAGAATCATTATAGTTATAGATCGTAGTAGTAAGTATTAGTGTTAGTAGTGTGTGATAACTGACAATACAAATATATCTTCTAAACCTAGGATGCACCGGGAGGAAGTTGGGGAGATTCGGAGTGAGGTGGAAGGGAGGACGAGATGATGAGGAGGTAGTCCCGGGTTGAGAAACACGAGGATAAGGGTCGAGGGATCCGAAAGCTAGTTTCCCAGAATCCTCGGGCTATACTCTAGAGGCGTAGTGCCCCGATCAACGATGTTTTTTTTTTCTCTTTTTTTCTAACACTGTGCAAGTTTTTCCGACTTTGATCTGCGGGAGGATCGGGATGAGAACTCTGGAGTTTTTTTTTTTTTTCTTTTATCAGAAAGGTTCCTGGCATTTAAACTAAACTTTGATATGTAGGTAGACGTTGGGCGAGGGTCACCTATGTGTTCTTCCCGAATCTATTTGCGTTAACCCAAGATTTTTTCTGCGCACGAGTAACATTAAACGCGGCTGTCAGAATCCAGAATGCCTGTTTACGTTTATGAAAGTACCTACGCCAGTGGTCGATGCCATTCAGGACTTGCGTTGCAACAATGATGTATTTATTCTTAATTAAGTAATCCTTATCACGTGGTCCTTTCTATATCGTAGCCTTATTTGTAAAATAGGCAGGGAGAGAAAGTAATATATATCGTTTATCCTTAACCAACATTGTTACAACTAGTCTATAGACAGCTCTGCGTAGATCATCTTTCTCACCGTGATTGATTCCTACACAGTACAGCATCTACCAAGGGATGTTCTAAAGACGTCCAAAGGACATCCCTTGGATAAAGTGCACTATGTAGGAACTTTAATCTTTTTTTCTTTTTCTTTTTTTTTTTTTTATTATCAAATACGGAGAAACAGCCACATTTATCGTTAAACGTGCCACGGGTCTCGCAGGCTCCCACACTACTAATAATAGTGTTTTTCTGCAACATATGTCAATACTTTACTGACGTCGGTATTTTGCAACGATTTGAACGATGTGACGCTTCGCAAACAACGAGTCGAAGATATGTAACGCCGACTACAAGAGATATAGCTTCCTCACCCCGCACACGCACACACACCCTCTCATTCTCCGTTTCCCTTTCTCTTTCTCCCTTTCTCTCTCGCTCGCTCGCTCCCATGCGATCCTTAAACACGCCAGCCGAGACAAATCACCTGTCAACGCTCGCAAGCCCTGTATACGTAATGACACGACGAATGCAGCTATATAAAGTATAAGTATCTCTTATATATTTATATATATATACTTACAGTGTAATTGTATGTTGTATACAAGTATGTATATATACGCATACGTATACGTATGTTACGTATCGCCGGCCTACAGCAGGTGTTTCATTTCGTCTCTCATTCTCATGGTAATACGATCATCACGAAAATGTTCCTCCTCTTCTAGCCTCCATTCACACCTCTCTCACATTCTCTCTTTCTCTCTCTCTCTCTCACCTTTCTCTCTCACGTCATGCTCAAAGTGTGTTCTCCGTGTGAACGTGTTGGTTGTTAAGTGTGTCT